GCACTCTACCCAGGGGGATAGCTTGAGGCTCCGTCTCAAAAAAAAAAAAAAAATACAGTTGTTATACTCATTTTATAGGCAAAGAAATTGAGTGTGGCAGGCACCTATAGTCCCAGCTACTTGGGAGGCTGAGGCAAGAATAGTTTAAGCCCAAGAGTTTGAGGTTGCTGAGAGCTGTGACGCCATGGCACTCTACCAAGGGCTTCATAATGAGACTGTCTCAAAATAAAAAAAAAGAAAAGAAAAAGAAAAAAGAAAGAAATTGAGGTTCAGAGAGGCTAGGAAATTTGCCCAAATTCATTCAGTTAATACATGATTGGGTCCAGATTTATTTTTAATTTTTTTATTAAGTCATATACACATAGATCATAAATACATTTATGCATATGTGGGGTACAATGTTATAATGTGTTGATTCTTTTTGGGGGGGTCAGAGCTGGGTTTGAACTCGCCACCTCTGGCATATGGGGCTGTCACCCTACCCTTTTGAGCCACAGGTGCAGCCCATGTCAATTCTTTTATACAATCTGATGTGGTTACATCAAACCAATTAACATAGCTTTCGCCTCATTTACTTGATTATTGTGTTAAGATGGGTCCAGATTTAAACTCATGGTTCGATGACTCCAAAGTCCATACTTCTGCTACTATTCCCACTAAAGAAAATAGTTTACTCATTCATATATCACAAATCTAAAGCACTGGCCAGTTGTGGTGGCTCAAGCCTGTAATCCTAGCACTCTGAGAAGCCAAGGCAGGAGGATAGCTTGAGCTCAGGAGTTGGAGACAAGCCTGAACAAGAGGGAGGCCTCAGCTCTACTAAAAATAGAAAAACTGGCTGGGCATTGTGATAGATGCTTGCAGTCTTAGTTATTAGGGAGATTGAAGCAGGAGGATTGCTTAAACCCAGGAGTTTGAGGTTGCTGTGAGCTAGGCTGATACAAAGGTACTTTGGCCTGGGTGACATAGTGAGACTCTGTCTAAAAAAAAAAAAAAAAAAAATCTATGTATGCCTTTTGTTAGAGACACCAAAATAAATAAGTAGAGGAGAGGCTTAAACATAGTTGGGTTTGAATATTAAAGAGCAAGAAATCAAAGGTCCAGGAGGGTAGTGAGGAAGTTACTATAACTATCCAAGGAGAGCTAAGAACTTTCTGAAGTACAGCAAAGGCAAGGAAGAGTGGTGGAAATGAAGGGGTGTTCAGATGGAAGAGTTGGGGGAAGGTGGTTTAGTCAGATGTTTAAACTAGCGTTACAATTTGTCTATCCATATATTAATTATTAGGGTGGAGGGAAGCACATCAGTGGGGCCATGAGCTTGTAACATTAAACCCATAGAAAAACTTTCAATGATCTCTATATAATCCTCGCTTAACTAAGTTCTTGACCTTTTGAGTTGTTTCCCAGAAATGGTGGATTTTCTCCAGGACAAATGAGCTGAGGTTCTAAAATCCCCATGCAGACTTCCTAAAGACAAGACTATCTATCCCCTCCAACCTGCCCTCAAACGCAGCCACTCTTAGCTCCTCCTGAGATATACTACCACCTGCCCCAAGGCACAGGGGCCCCTCTTTTTAAAGATCAGGACCTCCACTTACTTGGAAGATCTGAGGCATCTTCTCCCATTCTACTGTCATCTATCCTCATTGTCTCAATAATTGGATCTTTGTGCAATGAGCAACTGTACCTAGACCAAATGTACCTAGATGGGGAACTATATTGTACTTTTGCAGTGCTTAATTTTTTTTCCTCCTTCAAGCATCTACTGGGCATTTACAATGTATCATTTCTTTCATCTCTGCAAATAATTCAGTTTTTTAATTTTTTTTTTTTTTTTTTTTAGAGACAGAGTCTCACTTTTTTACCCTTATTAGAGTGCCATGAAGTCACAGCTCACAGCAACCTCTGGGCTTAGGTGATTCTCTTGCCTCAGCCTCCCTCGTAGCTGGGACTACAGGTGCCCACCACGACACCCAGCTATTTTATTGTTGCAGTTTAGCCGGGGCTGGGTTTGAACCCGCCACCCTGGGTATATGGAGCAGGCGCCCGTCTCACTGAGCCACAGCGCCGCCACAGTTTTTAAATTTTTTTTTTGCAGTTTTTGACCGGGTTTCAACCCACCACCTCTGATATATGGTGCTGGCACCCTACTCCTTGAGCCACAGGCACCACCCTTTTTAACAAATAAATCAATTATTTCTAGTCCCTTGCTACCACTGAAAAACCTAGAGTATTTAAATTTACCTATGTTTTGGGCAAAACCCATTTCAGAAGTTTTTTTTGTGGTTTTTTTTTGAGACAGAGCCTCAAGCTGTCGCCCTGGGTAGAGTGTCGTGGCATCACTGCTCACAGCAACCTCCATCTCCTGGGCTTAAGCGATTCTCTTGCCTCACTCTCCCAAGTAGCTGGGACCATAGGCGCCCGCCACAACACCTGACTATTTTTTGGTTGCAGCCATCATTGTTGTTTGGCGGGCCCAAGCTAGATTCGAACCCACCAGCTCAGGTGTATGTGGCTGGTGCCTTAGCTACTTGAGCCATAGGCGCCAAGCAGCAAAACCCATTTCAATCTCGTATTGATGTTCCAGAAGAGATCATAGCAGAGGTATAGTCTGTATACGTTTTGCTAAGTACCGGCTCCTGCTATTCTGTTTGAGATCCCCAACTTTCCCTCTTGTACTATCAGGCTTATGCTCTGAGCTAGGCCCAAGGAGGAAAGGAACACCAAGAAGCTGCAGCTCTGACCTGCAAGAGCCCAGGACACAGAAAACCAAAAAGTAAACAATAGGATACAAAGTGACAGGGATGTAACGGAGGTTGGTGGCAACATTTGAACCAGTTCTTTATGCAGGGGGTTCTTTTTTTTTTTTTTTCTCTGAGACAGAGCTTCAAGCTATTACCCTGAGTAGAGTGCCTCGGCATCACAGCTTACAGCAACTTCCAACCTCTAACTCCTGGGCTTAACCGATTCTCTTGCCTCAGCCTCCTGAGTAGCTGGGACTACAGGCGCCCACCACAACGCCCAGCTATTTTTTGGTTGTAGTTGTCATTGTTTGGCAGGCCTGGGTCAGATTCGAACCCACCAGCTGTGGTGTATGTGGCTGGCACCTTAGCCGCTTGAGCTACAGGTGCCAAGCCTACGCAGGGGTTCTTAACGTGCATCTGGGAAGTAAGTTCCAAGAATGCTCATTTTTGCTTGGTGCCCATAGCACAGTGGTTACAGTGCCAGTCACATACACAGAGGGTGGCAGGTTGGAACCCGGCCTGGGCCAGCTAAACAACGATGACAACTGCAACAAAAAATGGCTGGGTGTTGTGGCGGGCCCCTGTAGTCCTAGCTACTTGCAATCCCAAGAGTTTGAGATTGGTGTGAATTGTGACGCCATGGCCCTCTACTTAAGGCAACGTAGTGAAACACTGTCTCAAAAAAAAAAAAAAAAAAACACGAAAAAAACAAGAATTCTCATTTGTACTAAACTCTAAGGTGGACCATTTCTGAGGGCATCGTAAATACTCTTAATTTCTATCCTAGGAATTCAGAAAGGGAAAAGGTGTGTTGGTGCAAGCCTGGGTCATAAGAAAGGAAAATCGGGATTTAGGGCCTCAGAGCAGTCGCAGGCAAATTAAGTGTACAGAACTTCCAGGTAGAGTCGTCAGCTACGCACGAGGTCTGCCCAAGAAGTGCTGCCTGCGCTACCGGGAAGCCTTCCCATCACCACCCGCGCGCTGGGGCAAGGAAAGGTTAGAATAGTTACCATGCCATTCTAGGGGCCTTCCCTCTGATTGGCTGGCAATCCCGCAGCTCAAATACCTCCAAAAGGGGGCGGAGCCTCGTTAAAAACGTCACCACTCTTCTACCACACCCGACTGGGTGCTCCCCCACTCCAGCCTCTCACCAGTCCACTTCCAGAAGCCTGTGTGATGTCACGAATCGCCCCCAGCCAACCGCGGCGGTGAGGGGCGGGACTCCACGTCCCTCCCGCCACCCCTCCCCTTTTCCTCCCCGTAACTCTTTTTGTCCCTCCTCTTCCCCTTCGCCTTTTTTCCGGAAGACCGCCTTCACGTTCTGGTTCAAAAGACTAGTTACCCAATGAATAACAGGGCGGAACCAGAGTGGCGGCCTCGTCTGCCAATGCGCAGACGGCGAGGGCGGAGCGCCCAGAGCGAGCCTGTGACGGTAGGCGGCGTGTGACGCAGTCGGGCCCTCTGCGCGCTGCGCCCGGAGCGGCGGTGGGTGGCGGTGGTATCGGTAGTGGCAGCGGCGGCGGCGACGGTTTCGTGGCGGCCGCGCGCTGCTCTGTGAGCGGCAGGTGGCGGACGGGCCTGTGCCCTCACTCCTGGTACTTTCCCCCACCGCACCTCGGTAAGTCGGGAGCCAGAGCAGCGGCGGCTCTGCAAGCTCCTCCTCCTCTCAAGGCGGGCGGAAGCGCGGGGCGTCCCAGGCCCTCTCGGCTCTGAAGTCTCGCGCCCCGGCGCGCACCTTCTTGTCTGAGGGAGGGGCGGGGCCCGCGACCCTACGGCCAGGAGGCTCGACTCCTCAGGCCTTGGGAGGGAATGGACGTCGGTGGGGTCTAGGCCTGGAGTCTCCAGTTGGAGCCCACGCTAAGGGAGCGTCCATTTATCTGGTTGTACTCATTCATTCGTTCAGCGGTTATTGGGCGCCCATGGTGGGCCTTTCTTTTCGGGGGCAGTGCTTTTAAGACCCTGAATACGGTCTCCTGCGCACTTCCTTCACCGTCGTGGGGATGGGTTTTATTTGCCTTGGCATCTTCGTGAGGGAAATGGGCGGCCTGAGGGTTAAGAGAGGGCAGGCAAATCGGATGTTTGTTAGCTTTTTAAGATAATACCTGAGAATTTGGGTCAGTTCAGTGGATTGAAAGGTTCTTTACTTCCACGTGTTCCATGTAAAGCCACTTGAGAAAGATTGGGGTTCTTGATTATCGTAGCCATAAGGACCTTAGAAGTTGTGTAAGTGAGGTTTTATAGATAGAGAAATGGAGGCCCAGAGTGACTCAAATCTAGAAATTTCTCTACTATCTCACCCTTAGGGAATATTCCTGTCTCCCATTATTTAGGATTCCTTTTGAGGGGTCCGTGGGGTAGGGACATTTGTTGGTAGAGGAAGAGTAGTTTTAGCGTTTCTGACTTAGTTGCTATCAGCTATGCTAAGATAGAAGCTTCTTTAGTGGTACCCTAACCTAGATGTCAAGAACTAAACTTTAGATAAAAGTTGGCTAAAGTTTCCCTTTTTAAATCTGAGTTATTGTGTCTGCTACTGGGGACTCAGAGGAAAGTCCAGTTAATGACCTACAAAACTGGCTTGGCGCCTGTGGCTCAAGCGGCTAAGGCGCCAGCCACATACACCTAAGGTGGCGGGTTCGAATC